TCTATTTGGCACTGGTGAGGCCACATCTGGAGTATTGCATCCAGTTTTAGGACCCCCCCCCACTACAGAAAGGACTTGGGCAAATTGGAAAGAGTCCAGCGGACGTCAACAAAAATGATTAGGGTGTTGGGGCAAATGACTTTTTAGGAAAGGCTGAGGGAACTGGGTTTATTTAGTCTGCAGAAGAGAAGAGTGAGGGGGGATTTAATAGCACCCTTCAACAACCTGAAGGGGGATCCAAAGTGGATGGAGCTCGGCTGTTCTCAGTGGTGGCAGATGACAGAACAAGGAGCAATGGTCTCAAGTTGCAGTGGTAGAGGTCTAGGTTGGATATTAGGAAACACTATTTCACTAGGAGGGTGGTGAAGCACTGGAATGGGTTACCCAGGGATGTGGTGGAATCTCCATCCTTAGAAGTTTTTAAGGTCAGGCTTGACAAAGCTCTGGCTGGGATGATTTAGTTGGTGTTGGTCCTGCTTTGAGCAGGGGGTTGGATTAGGTGACCTCCTGAGGTCTCTTCCAACCCAGATATTCTATGATTCTGTGGGACGGGGATCTGCTGGGAATCCAGAGTGGGTTTGGTGGGAGCCTATGACTCTTCCACTGGGATATACCTATACAGGAGCAGTGGGAAGCTGAGTTTCATCAACGTACCCAGAACCTCTGGGGACATGAATGATGCTTGCCTCGGTAAGAACAAACCCAAAGATTTCCCCTTACCTATTTATACAGCCCCTCCTCATCACCCCAGAGGGGGCTTCCTCTTAGTTCTGGTAAAGGGATCTCTGTGTAGCACTGTTTGTAACACCCCGACACCCCAATATTCACCACTGTCTTGTAATTAGGATATGTTTTGTACAAAGTATGTCTTGTGAGGGATTACTCTAAAAATCTTGATCTGCTAAACATTAATCTCATTGGATTGTGTGTGTTATCGTTCTATGTGAAGTTATGAAGTTTGGCTACGTATGTGTTACTAAAATGTGTGGTGAAGTTCACAACACGCACAAACAGCCTTTGAGGTACAATGCTAAAAAGGCCAAACAGTGTTAATGGCTTATTGAGGAAATGCACATATGCACATGGATTACCCCAGGAACTGGGTACAATAGAAACCTCTCAGAGATAGCACTACACAATGGGAACTGTTTGTCCCAGGTCACAGCAAGAGAGCTTTACCGCGAGTGGGAAGAAGATATAAAAAGGGGACAATGATTTCATGGGGGACGTCACTCTCCCTACAACAACATGCCTGGAAATATCTGAGGGGCAAGGACAGAACCGTGGGAAGTGATGGTCCCAGGCTAGAGGGATTTTTAGCCTGAGTATGAAAACCTGGGAAAGCCAAGGCGACTTGTGCCTTAAGAATGTGCTGCCTGTTTATCACTCAGGGTGAGAATCTGCTTATTTGTATCCTACCGGTCTAGTGTGTTATGCTGAGTTTGCAAGTTTTCTTTATTTATTAAGGTAATCTGCTTTGTTCTGTTTGCTTTCCCTTATAATCACTTACAATTTACCTTTTGTAGTTAATAAAGTTATTTCTTGTTTATAGTATCTCAGTTTGTACAATTCATGCCTGGGGGGTGCAAGAAGCTGTGCACATCTCTCTCCACATTGAGGGAGAGGGTGAATTTTTATGAGCTTGCGCTGTGCAGATCTCTCTGTACAGTGTAAGACAGTATTATTTTGAGTTTATTGCCCATAAGGGTGTGCACGTGAGTTCCGGGTGAGTCCTCTCACATAGAGCTGATTTCAGTCTGTGTCTGGCGCTGGGTGTGGCCCTACCTGTGTGTGTGTGCTGCATAACCGGAGAGCTTAATTCAGCAGAACAGGGAGAGGGAATCCAGGCTGGTGGAGCAGGAGAGGCTCAGTGAAAACCCAGTCCATCAGGTGGCATCCTGGATGGGGTGGTCCAACCCATCACACTGTTGTATGGCTGTTTCCCATGTCACCTCCCCATGTCTCTCTTTTCCTTTGAGGTTATTCATCTCAGGTCATCACAGCCAACGGGCAGAGCACCTACATGGTCGGGGTCCCTCTATGCCCAGGCACCGGCAAAGTCCTCCTGTTCAGCAGAGATACCAAGGGTGGGGAATGGACACCCGGATCGGAGCTGTTGGGAGAGCAGGTATGGGGAGTGTTACAGGTAATGTGGAGTGTGGGTGTGAGAGAAGGAGAGCACTGGAGGAAAGCTGTAAGCTTTTGACATTGTGTAATATTTGTGTTTGGCTTCACCTTCAGGAACGATTCGGTCAGAGAGCCTCAGGCAGGGGATAAACTTGACTGGTTTAGAGAACTGCACCGCAGCTGACATTCAGCATCTCTCCAATATCCCACTTCTGTTACCTTCACTTACAGTCTAGACGGAACTCATAAGGTGGATACGGACAGAGGCCCAGACCCACCAAGGGACTTAGGCATCGTGATGCTGCAGGGAGGCACCTGCCTCTGCCAGCGATCGACGAATGGGGGGAGGGGAGAGAGAGACACAGGCACTCTTCACCTACCCGACATGTTGGGTCTCATCCAATAGGCATGCTCAGAGCTGCCGAGATATTCACAAACCAACTGTAGGAGACAAGAGACGTTTCCCTTATAGAGCGGGGATTAGAGTTCTCACCTAGGACATGGGTGACCCCTGGTTCAAATCCCTGCTTTGCCTAATTAGCAAGAAGGATTTGACCAGGTAGCTGCCCTCTCTCAGGCAGTTGTGATTTGCACATGTTCTGTGGCTCAACTGATACTTAGTTACTCAATTAAACTGGAACAACATTAAGAGGGGAGACTGAGGGAGCCCATATCAGAATATCCCACAGCTCAGGGGTTAGAGCACTGAACTGAGAAATAGCAGGTGCCTGTTCAATTCCTTCTCCTCTGACCACACCTACCGGAGGAGGAGGAGTTAGATGGAGGAGCACCTGTCTTCCCCCAGTTTGTGGAGTATGCTGGGATGTGGGGGGGAAATAGGCACCGGGTAATTGCATGCTTAGAGTAAGACAGTAAGGCACAAGCCCTGCCCTTGAGACAGCAGCAAAGGAGCTTCTGCTGCAAAAATTTAGGCACCAAGTCAGGTTAGGCACCTACAGGGGTCAGCGGCAGCCAGGCAGAGGTTTTGCGGCTCACAGAGACAGTAAAGTCCAGGGGGTTAAGCACATAAGTACCTTTGTGGATCTAGGCTAGAGAGACTCAGGCAAGGAAATAACATTACTAGTGATATTAACGGTGTCTGAAAAAGATCACACTACACTAACAAAATGAATTTCTCTAAGTCCAATTGCCTATACATGCCACCTAAACAAAACATATAACAGTGGCTCAGTCACTGATGAACTTGACTTGTGATAGCCCAACCTCTAAAAAGAATTGCACCACAGTTAGCATTCAGCATCCCCGTCCCTCCAAGATCTAGCTGCCTGTCTGTTCAAGAACACTTACAGAGATAGTGACACCGGCTGCACTGAGGGAGGGTGAGGCTAAAGATGGAATGAACATTGTGACTGAATCCTTATCCCCAGAGGGTAAGAAGGGTCCCAGTGGGAGAAGAAGCAGGAGGTGACTAAATTGAGGGGGTGGCTTATGTGCCTCTCCAGATTGGCTCGCGTTTCGGGAGTACACTGTGCGCTGTGGACCTCGACAGAGATGGGAACACGGACCTGGTTCTAATCGGAGCCCCTTTGTACCATACACCTCTGAATGGAGGACGCGTCTATATCTGCCCGATTAACTTGCCGGTAAGAAAGAGGAGTGCAGCCATGGGGAAGATGGGTGGCCAGGGGTTCTTGTTTGCCTGGACTGCTGTGATGCTGTGACAATTAGTATTGCAGTAGGGGGCATGGTGCTCCAGGAAGCAGGGTAGAGGCTCAGTAGGGGGTGCTCTTCCCTCCCAGTTAGTTCTGGCCCCAGAGTCGGGAGGGGGGACACACACTGTGCTGCAGAGAGAGGGGAAGGAGCTTGGTAGGGATCACTCTCTGACGACAGCAAGTGCTGATCCTTTCCCCACGTGTCTTTTTGGATTGGGCCTGCAGGGGACGACGATGATCTGCACCAAGACACTACATGGGCAGACGGGGGAAGTGTCTGGGCGCTTCGGGGCCAGCATGTCTGAAATCGGGGACATCAGCGGGGACGGACAGACGGATGTGGCCATCGGGGCTCCCATGGAGAATGACAATCATGGGGCCTTGTACATCTTCCATGGGGAAAAGGGAGGCCTCAGTCCCCAGTACAGACAGGTGAGCCCAGCTCCTATGGGGAGGGGTCAGTACACAGCCCTGAAGGGACACCATGGGACCCACAGCCCCCTAGTGCCCATTATACAGTGTACTCACCCCTTTCCTAGCCCTTATCCTCTGGTGCCCCCTAGTGCTCATTATATAGTACACTCACCCCTTCTGCATCCCTTAATGCTCTCTGCCCTACAGTGCATAGTGGGGTCACAGTTTCCCAGCAAGCTGCACTACTTTGGCCAGGCTGTCAGTGGCGGGACAGATCTGACGGGTGATGGACTGCCGGACATCGCAGTGGGGGCACAAGGGGAGGTCCTGCTGCTGAGGTAAGTAACTTTGTGTCGTTGCACTGTTCCACATGACAGTCTCAGGCGTTGTCTACACTAGAGAGTGTTTTCAGTACAAGTTATGCCGACGATCTAAAAGTGCAATAATTTCATCGCTATTCCATGTCCACACTATGGTCCTTGTGTCAGCAGAGCGCATCCACACTTGGTGCTGTAGCACTGAGAGTGAGAGCAGTGCACTGTGGGTACCTACCTCAGTGTGCTACTCACCACATTCCACAGCTAGGTGTTGTGGGAAGGTGGAGTGGATCGCAGTGCATCATGGGTGTGGAATTAATGTCCCATGATGCAGTTCTTTCCATCCCAGCATTCCAGGGGCTTTCGACTGCATTCTGTGGCATTTTTCAATGTTTACTGTGCACCTGCCACCTCTGTCTGAAAAGATGGATCCTGCGCTGATCTCTACTGTTGTGGTCACTGTTACGAACACATTGTGGATGGTCTTGCAGTATATCATGAGCTCCCAATCTGAACAGGAACCAGAGTTACCTGACCTGCTGTGTGCCATGGAAAGAAACAACACCAGATTACTTTTGGCATTCATGGAGTAACTGAACACAGTGGACCGTCGCTTTTGAGCTTGGGAAACAAGCACTGATTGGTGGGATCACATTGTTATGAAGCTGTGAGATGACGAGCAGTGGGTGCAGAACTTTTGGATGTAGATAACCACCTTCCTGGAACTGTGTACAGAGCTCACCCCAGCCCTGCAGTGCAAAGACAACAAAAAGAGAGCTACCCTCTCAGTGGAGAAGTGTGTGGCAATTGCAATGTGGAAGTTGGCGACATTGCCCACACTCACCCTTCACTACGACCTGGATTGCAATGTGGAAGTTGTGAATCAGTTTGAAGTCGTGAAGTTGATCACAGGGGCTTCGTTAATGCAAGTGTGCAAGGCCATGAATCGAATCCTGCTACAAAGGACCATGACTCTTGTCAATGTACGTGAAATAGTGAATGGCTTTGTAGAAATGGGATTCCCTAGCTGTGGCAGGGTGATAGATGAAACACATATTCCAATTTTGGTCCTGGACCATCTTGTGACAGAGTACATCAACAGAAAGGGGCACTTCTCCATGTTATTGAAGGCACTTGTAGATCACCGTGGGTGTTTTGCTGACATCAACGTGAGGTGGTCTGGGAAGGTGCATGACGTGCAACTTCAGGAGCACCGGCCTGCACAGAAAGCTGCAAGCAGGGACTTTCTTTCCAGACCAAAAGAATCCAATGGGGGATGTTGAAATACCCATCGTGATCCTCAGAGACCCAGAGTATCCCTTACTCCCACGGCTCATGGAGCCTTAAATGGGAAAGCTGGACAGCAGCAAGGAGCGCTTCAACAACAGACTGAGTAGATGCAGAATGACTGTGGAATGTGCCCTTGGCACATTAAAAGCGCGTTGGCGATGCCTTTAGGGAAGGTTAGATCTTAGTGAGGAAAACATTCCAATGGTCAGAGCTGCCTGTGGGGCTAAGGGTGAAAAGCTTGCCTGGGGTGGAGTGCTGAGCCAGATCACCTGGATGCTGATTTTGAGCAGCCAGATAACATGGCTATTGGAAGGGCACAATGGGAGCTATTTGAACAAGGGAGGCTTTGAGGCAACATTTTGAGAATGAGAACCAGTAATCTGCCATGCTTCATTAAGCTCAGTTATCTGTAGTGTAGATAAGGCCGCACACAGTAGCAATACATTGTGTGTGTCTGTCTGTCTGTCTCCCCTGCACTGGAGAAAGGCACAATGATAGCTTTGCTGCAGGGCCGGCGAGTTGCATGAGCCCATGGTGCTCGGGCTCCAGGAATATTCCTGGCTTGGGGGCCTGTCTCCACCAAAGTTTGGGTCTGAGTCCCACCTGCTGCCCCCAAACACCTCCCTGATTCCTCCCCCATACTTGATCCTCTTGGCTAAGATGGGGCTCAGGGTGGTGGAGTGCTGGTGCAGGGGTGGTGGTGTTCAGGGCACTGTGAATTTGTGGGTGGGGGTGCTGGGCATAGTGTGTCCAGGGAGTGCTGGCACCCCCTCCTGAACCCATACCATCTGCCCCAGGCAAAGAGCCCACACCTAGCACCTAAACTCCCTTGAAAGCCTTAGGCAGGCAGATGTGTGTATGGTGGGGTGAGGGGGAGGACAGGACGTGGACCTGTTCTGGACACCACCAAAAATTATACAAACCTGCTGCCCTGCCTTGCTGCTCCCTTCTCTGCTCCCCAGCATCTCCTCTAGCAGAACTGCATATCCGTAACTTGTCTCCCTGAGGTGCTGAGAGCACATCCAGGCTGGGTGGGAGGCTCTGGAGAAAAAGGGAGGGGGCCTGGCCCCATTGCAGAGAGCAGCTGGGTGATGATTCTGTTCCCCCCCATGGCAGGTCCCGGCCGGTGCTCAGAGTCGGGGTCTCCATCAGCTTCCAGCCCCCCACGATCCCCACCTCGGCCTTCGACTGCCAGGGGCAGGAGCAGCTCAACACAGAGGCCAGCAGAGCAGAGGTCTGCTTCACCGTCACTAAGATCACCATGGACAGCCTAGGTCAGGCCATACCCCCGCCCCCATATTCTGAACCAGCCAGTTCCCTGCCCTGGGGCTAGACTGGAGCCAGGGCCCCGTGGAGGGGAAGGGCCCTGTGTCCCATTTCCCCTTGAGATTCCCACTGTCTCACTCTGTCCCTCATTTCCCCTCCCCCGTAGGTGACAGGATCTTCAGCACTATCCAGTACAGCCTGGCCCTGGACTCCGGGCGGACAAAGATCCGAGTCGCCTTCGACTCCACCGGCCCTGTCCTGAGCAGGGAGCTGCGGCTCGGCATCGAGAAGAAATGTGAGATGTACCGGATAACAATACCTGTGAGTGCAGGGTGTCCCGGCTCCTTCCCTTACCACTATGTCTGATCCTCCAACCCTGCCCCTTGCTCCCAAATCACCCAGAGAACAAACCTTTCTGGATCCCAGTTCCCCTTTCCCTTCAGCGGCCCAACGTGTCTTTCTGTCTCCCCAGCTCTGTCCCGAAGACATTCTGACCCCCATCACCCTACGCTTCAACTACACCCTGACGGGGGAGCCCATCGCTGCCGCCGGTGGCCTCAGACCCATCCTGAATGAGGACTCTGTGCTGGTGTCTGCAGGCTCGGTAAGGTGCCAGAGCCAGGCCCCACAGTGGGTCTGCTGCAGGAATCGAACCAGTGATGTTGGCATTCGAAAGCGAGAGACTGCAACGTTCAGAGCCAGCAGCAGCTTCCTAAAACTCTTACAGAGTATGGGCACTAGAGGGAGACAGAGACGGATGCCCAGTTTGCCTTGGCTACAGACCTGTCTCTCCTAGGTGGGAACGTTCCAACTTCTCAAAGTTCCCCAAATTTCTGTCCAAAAACCAAAATATTTTTGGCTAAAAAAATGATTTTTGCTGAAAAATTTTCAAAACTTATTTTGGCCAGGGCCCCTTAGAGGAGAAAGGCTCCATGCCCTGTTTCCCATCCCCCCATGAGGCAGGCCCCCTGACCTGGCACTCCTAGAAGTGTGATACTGTTGCTGGCCGGAGCCGGGAGGTGGAAGGGGGAGGAGGGGTATGGGTGAGTGGGTGGGTGGCAAGGGCAAGGCTGATGATGGGTTCAACTGTCCCCTGTGCAGGGGACTGGGAGGTGCTGGGGTAACTGGAGGGCCCCTGAGTCCCTGCAGTGTCGTTCTGGCAGATGGTGCTGCAGCCCCCTCCCCACCCACTCTGATCCTGCTCTCCTGCGTCTCCCCCCACCCCCAGCTCCCGTTTCAGAAGGACTGTGGCACGGATGGCCGCTGCGATGACCAGTTAGCAGTCTCCTTCAATTTCTCTGGGTAAGTCACCGAATCCTCCCAGCAACAGCACCCGCCATGGGGGGACCCGTCCAGCTTGATCACACCTTGGATTTCCAGAGCTGATGGATCCTGGGTGGGGGGCACTGCTGTGGCAAAGATCGCAGCACTGGGGTCCCTGGCTGGGCACTGCTAGAGGAAGTTCACAGAGCAGCGAGGGCACTGCCCTGAGGAAGCTCACCCCTTTCTCTCCCCCTTAGCTTGAGCACCCTGGTGGTGGGGGTCGCCCCTGAACTGAACACCACCTTCTCCATCCAGAATCACGGGGAGAATTCCTACAGCACCAGGGTGCAGTTCTTCTACCCGGCCGCGCTGTCCTACCGCCGGGTCCTGCTGCTCCAGGTACCTCAATGCACGCCAAGCATGAGGGGCAGACTCTGCAGGGGGCGCTGTGCTGCAGTTGGGGAAGGGGTTTCTGCAGGGGATGCTATGCTGCAGAGAGTGGGCAGGGGACTCAGTTTGGAGTGCCGTGCCGCAGGGACTGGGTGAGGGCTTGGCAGGTGGGGTCATGCTGCAGGGAGGGGATGGAGGGCTCATCTCTCACTGGCTGGTCCCCTGTGTTCAGTCTAACAGGAGGGCCATGGCCATTAAATGCAGCTCAGCAGAGGGCTCAGAGGAACAATCTCAAAGGAACAGCACCTGCCACATCAACCACCCCATCTTCTGGAGCGGGGCCGAGGTAAGGACGGGCCCCGGCTTGTGGACTCCCCAGGAGTGAATCCAGCTGTGAGCAGAGAGGGGAAGTTCCCTGGGGTCAGCCCAGCCCGTGACCAGAGATGTGCTGGGGAAAGGGCCACGGGGAGCCCGGCAAGTCAGTGCAAACAGAGCCCTGAGGTCACTCTGGGGCTGCGTCAGGCCCTGCTGGGTCTGCAAACCAAGGGCCAGACTAGGGGGGCTGGAAATCAGGCCTCACTTGGGGAGAAAAGAACAAAGGGAGGGGCTGTTCCCTCCCCCATTTGGGGTCCTTAAAATGATGGTTAATGGGGTGTTGCCATGGCACAGAGCCGGCTGAGGTCTCTGGATCCCAAACCAGGTTAATGCTGTTGGGCAGGGGCAGGGTCATGTTAACACCTTCGCCTCTCTGGGCCCATTTATTCCATCTAAGTTCATACAACAGTCCCCCAATCCACTGTGCCTGCCCTGCCCCTGCAGTCTCTGGCAGTTCCCCAGGCCCTGAGCCCAGCAGCTCTCACCCCCGTGTGTTTTCCAGGCCGTCTTCGTTGCCACCTTCGACGTCTCTTCTGAGGCTGACCTGGGGGACAGGCTTCAGATCACGGCCAAGGCCAGCAGGTGAGGGGGCTGTGCAGGGCCAGGGGGTGGGGTGGGGGCAGTGGGAGGGGGCCATGCACGGAGCAGGACAGGGCAGTGGCCTATAGTGCAGTCTTCCTGCACAGTTACCTGCCTGCGTCTCCTCACATCTCTCTCCTTTGCCCTCCCCTCCCTGCAGTGACAATGGTGGCCCCACCACCGAGCGCATGATTCACCGGGCGGAGCTGCCGGTAAAGTACGGCATCTTCATTATCCTCACCAGGTAGGTCAGTGCGGAGACAGAGTGGGGGAGCGCCCACTGCTGGGCCCCCATCCTGTTCCCTGCAACACAGCGCCCCCACCCACCGCCACTCTTCAGCCCCATCCATCACACTCCCGTCTCTCTCCTTCCTTCCATCCTTTTTCTTCCCCAGACTTGAGTCAACCAAGTACATCAAATTCTCCTCCAAGGAGTCGGGGACAAGTGTGCCAGTGACACATCGGTACGAGGTGAGGCCGGTGGCACAGAGTGTGAGGAGTGAGATGGGGCAAGAGGGAGGGAGTGGAAGTGGTTGAATGGGATCTAGTGGGTTAGGGCATTGAGGGGGAGGGGGAGGGGTGGGCAGGGATCCAGGACTCCTGGGTTCTATCACCAGTTCTGGGAGGTGAGTGGGGTTAGAGTGGGGGTTGGAGATCAGAGCTCCTGGGTTCTCTTCCTGCAGTGCCCTATGGAGAGTCTGTTTCTTTCAGGTCAAGAACCTGCGGCAGCGAAGCGTCCCCATCTCGGTCACGTTCCAGTTCCCCGTGGAGCTGAGCGGGATCCGGGTGTGGGACGCCTCTGAGGTCGTTCCCTCCAAGGTACCTGCCTCTCCCTGCCCTTGTGCGTGTGTGTGTGTGTGTGTGTTGGACTCAGTGACACCTGCTCTGCCCTACAGTGCCCCCTGCTGGGACAGGCTGCGTAGGGGGGAAAGACCCCTGCCCCAGCCCCCGAGCCAGCCAGTCCCCTGCCCTGGGGCTGGATTGGAGCCAGCACCCCCTAGTGGGAAAAGGCCCTGTGTCCCCTTCCCCACCCCCGTGAGCCAGCCAGTCCCCTGCCCTAGGGATGGATTGGTGCTGGTGCCCCCTAGATGGGAAGGTCCCATGACCCATTCCCACCACCATTAACACCATGTCTCTACCTCCCCAGCCCCAGCTGGCTCAGTGCACCAGTGAGGCTGAAACGCCAGGTTCAAAGGACTTTGTGAAGCAGATGAGCGAGCGCCCCCTGCTGGTGAGTACAGGCTGGTGCTGGTCCCAGCAGCCCCTTCCCCTCCGCGCTAACACAGACAGTGAGTGGGGGGCTGGGCTAGGGGAGGGACCCCTGATATAGACAGACTCAGACCCTCATGGCCATGCTGATCCCCAGCACGCCCCCTGCCTCACCCGGTGATATCCTTCCACCCCCAGAACTGCTCCGTGGCCACCTGTAAGAAGATCCGGTGCAGAATCGCCTCCCTGGAAATGCAGCAGCCGCTGGAGTTCATGATCAAAGGGAACGTCAGCTTCCAGTGGGTCTCCCAGGTACGAGAGCTGCCTCTGCCTCCCAGCACCAGGAGAGCATCCCCCACACCTCTCTCCAGAGGTGGCTGCATCTCAGTGCTGGGCAAGGGATTGCCCCTGTGTGAACGGCCTGTAAATTGCCCTGGGTGCCTCTGGGGTGATGCTCCGGGCAGGTTTGTGTCATTTCTGGTCAGGAACGGTGAATTTCTCTGTTCCAGACTCAGCAGCAGAAAGTGAGTCTGGTGAGCAAGGCCCGGATTGAATACGAGAAGAAGAAATACACCCAGAAGGAGGGATTCGTCCAGCGCCAGGTACCAGAGTGACTGCACCCGGGATAGAGAGAGCATCAGCTAGTGGTTAGAGCTGGGAGCCAGGACTCCTGGGTCCTGTAACTGCTCTGGGAGGAAGTGGGGTCTGGTGTGTTAGAGCAGGGGCGGGTGATGGTGCCAGGACTCCTGGGTCCCCATCTCACAGCTCCTCTCCCCCAGGTGCAGACGGTGGTGGAGCGCTCCGAGGTCTATAACTACCTGCCCATCAGTGTGGGTAGCAGCGTGGGGGCCTGATCCTGCTGGGTCTCATCACCGCAGCCCTCTATAAGGTGAGTGGGGCAGGGCTTGGACTGCTCCCCACAGCCCATCGCTATTAGGGCGAGGCCTGTGGTTCTCCAAGTACCGGATTTACCATGGGGCCGAGCCCAAGCTCAGAAGGGGGCCCATAACACTCGCTTCCTCCCCTCTTGCAGCGCTGCACAAGCCGAGCCTCCGAGCAGCAGGATCCAGCATGTGAGCTCAAAAGCCAGGGGGCCCTGGGATCTGTAGTTCCTTGGCCAGCTCCCTGCCTAAGAGCCTGCCCTGGAGCAGGGAAGGAATTCCATTTCGCAGCATTCCCTTGGCCGCTATCAACAGGAAACGGGGGGGGGGGGGGGGTGGGGAAACTGAGACCCCATGCACTGCAGCTTGCTGTGAATGGAAAGCTGGCTGCTAGAAGGGGGTGGCATTGTGAATGGGGAACAAGTATGCCCAAGGAGTAGAAGATATCACCCTCAGAAGACTTCCCCAGACTGGATTAGGGATTCTGGTGTGACCTCGCCTGGCAGCCCCCAAAGAAGGAACTGGGTGGAATGAATGGACAGTGCACCTCTCTATCTGAAGCTTAGCAAGGGAGGGAGGTGGACTCCACTAGGAGAAATTAAAATGAAAAGTAAGGGAGTGGAGGCTCTACTAGAGGACCTGGGCAGCTTTAGGTACAGTACCAGGCACGCAGGAGGATTTCCACTTCTAAGCCATGGAAGCAGAAATTGACTTTTTTCCTTTCCAGATTTATCCAATATTCAGAAAGGGAATCTAGCACCTGCCTTCCAGATTTGAACACCCTCAAAATGCAGGAGTGCTCAAGCTCAATTTGGGCAGCTGTTACTTCATTTCTCCCAAATCAAATATACTGATCCACTGTAACTTGCTGTAGAAAAAGTAGGATAAAATTGAGCAACAAATGCTGGGGTCTTTGCAGTGCTAAGTAGGACTGGAATTACTATCTTCAACAGCCATTACCATTTATTTATTTTTTTAGTTTTGTTTGTTTAAAAAGAAGACAGTGATATTGCATTGGCAAATTCCCCATAGAAATGAAGAGTGGAGCAAAAGAATAATAAAGGCACCTCAACTTTTCCTCATTTATGTAGGACAGTCTTATAATATGGATCCAGATAGCCTCCAATCACACAAGCTGAAAATTGTTCCACTTTACTGCAGTTCTGTAACCATGCGGGAACCAATCCTGTCTGTGTTCTGTGCACATCCAAAATTCCTGCTGAATTCAGAAGTGCCTTGTTTTTGTAACCATACTACCTGAGTATCAGAGGGGTAGCGCCGTGTTAGTCTGGATCTGTAAAAAGCAACAGAGGGTCCTGTGGCACCTTATAGACTAACAGATGTATTGGAGCATAAGCTTTCGTGGGTGAATGCCCACTTCGTCGGATGCATGTCATACTACCTGATATTTTCAGCCCTTGTAAGCGAAGCAGGTTGACATTTAGTAATTTGGTGGGAAGCCTCTCAGAAAAAGTTAGGTGCTGTAGGAGGTGTTGCTTATTCACTAGGTAATGTGAGACCTTCCTGTTACAATAGTAAACCAATGCAGCATAGAATGCACTTTGCTCCCAGAGTCTAGAATGGGGTCCTTTGCTTCTATGCACAGCCCATTAAAGACAATGAAAAGACTCCCACTCACTTCAACAGCTTTGGACAGAACTGGTTATACAGAGGGTAACTCCACTGTCTTCACAGGGTCCTGGCCTCACAGCGGAGGGGGGCATGTGAGCTTGTTGCAGAACTGCTGCTCAGGGATGGGACCTTCCTGGTACCTCAACCTCCAAAATAATTCAGGCTGCACTTTCTGCATGACTATGTGCTAGCTGAGGGGCGCTTGGGAATTGGTGGCCTCTGCTGCAGGTGATGGGCATCTCAGGTACTTAAAGCCAGGGCCTAGAGGAGGAAAGCGCCTAACTGCAGAGTCTGCAGCTGCCTAGGGCTGGCGCTGAGGATTTAGAGTCCCTAGTGCCGCCGTTGCAAGGTTCAAGCATGCTCAGCCTTGGAATTGCCACCCCTCCCTTGGTAGCAGCTGCAGCTATCTAAGGCTGGCCTCTGGCAATTGGCCCCATGGCTAGAGCCAGAGAAGCTGCAGGTGGCTCTGTGAAGCTAGGAGCAGATAAAGAAACTGGAGTTAACCTCAAGGAACAGAGGTCACCAGTAGGAAAGGGATGTCAAGGGGAGCAGGGAAAGAGGAAGCAGGTCAGGCTTGCAGCGGGAGACTAGCCTGTGCAAAGTAGACAGGAAACAAGCCTGGGGAGAGGTGGTGGTGGCCAGGTAGTAGACTACCATGTAGATGGGAGCAGAGGGAGAAAGGGTGGTGTCTTCAGATTCCCAAGGGCTAAGTCCTCACTTTTGGGAAATGGTGTTTGCAAGTGGCTTGCTCAAATGGCAGGATGGGGGCTGAGGGAGAGATTTGTCAGAATTGATCAGGTATCTGCTGGGTTTAGAACTTTGAGCTGAGACTAGAATCACATACAGTGACTGGTGACAGGGTGGTACTGAAGACATGGCTATAAGAAAATATCAGGACACATGGCGGGGAGGGGGTCGCTGGTGAAGGGGGGGGGGAAAGCCGACCGATCTTTGGGACAAACGCCTAAATATCGGGACAATCCCGATTTTATCGGGACATCTGGTCACCCTATTCCCACAGCCCGTCCCTCCTCCTCGGCCATGAGCCTGTGTCTGTCTGGCTCTTACAGTTTCCCCCAGCTGTCTCCCTCCAGTTCAGCTTCTTCAAGCGCCAGTACAAGCAGAGGATGAAGGACGCTGTGGAGGGCGAGGGGCCTCTCCTGACCCAGAGTGCAACCACTGGCAACTCCCCTGCTTCCAATGCCCCCAAATAATAGCCCCCCCATGCACTCCCCTAGATGGGTCACAGAACCCCCAGATTTTAATTGCTGAAGCTGGGCACCCTCACTCTGCCCCCCTCTTGTTCCCCTCCCCAACAGGCACAAGTTGCCAATGTTGGCACCCCCCAGCTTTGCCTCCCTCTGGGTTGCTCCAAATCCACCCCCACCCCCTTATGTTTGCCATCTCCAAGATGCAGAGAGACCGGCCACTGCCCATCCCCCAACCAACAAAAGCGGTCCTAGCGCCAACTAGAGCCAATCGTCACACAAATTACACTGGGCAGAATTCTATTTACCTTTTTATAATTTGAATGGAGAACAGTGAGGTTATTTTTATAGGCATTCTTTTTAGAATTCTATTGATTTAAATTTTGATGTGGAAAATTATGGGTTTTAAGCATCCCACCCCCATTTTTATCAATGTAAATGATCCCGGTTGTAGGAATTTGTGTGTGTCGGGGGTCAGGCCATATGTGAAGGTCACACAGTTATTTAATGGCAGTAGAGGTTGAGATTCAAAAAGTTAAAGCTTTATAAGTATGCTGGGAAGGATGGATTTTTATTGGTAAATGTTGAATTCATCACAACACAACAAACTGCCGACAAAATATTTCCATCGCTAATAATTGAAATTTTCCACTTAAGAACATATTGGAGTTTGATTTTAGGCTATTAACTTTGTCTATTTTGACATGTGGTGATAATTTGTGTTTGAATAGTTATAAAATGTGACCTTTTAAAATAAATTTCTGTTGTCTTTACAGAATTAGGGTTTGATTCCCCACCCCAGTAATTTTCCACAACTGAAAATTTAAATGAATAAAAATAAAAAATTTGTGCTTAGAAATAAACAGAACTGTCCATGGAAATTATTTTAAACAAGAATTCTGCTAAGCCTATTTTTAACATTTAAAAACACAAATTGTCGACAACACATGTCAAATTCTACAAAGTAATTATCCTGAAAGTTGTTGATCAGTATTGTCCTGATAAGCTATGTGTCTCAACATTGTATGTAAAGTTTTATAAGATTTCCCTGTATGATGTTACAGACCCGTGTTCCCAACCCCACAACCTTGCTCATGCAGAAGTTGGCAACCAGATGTGGTCTCGAGAAAGGAATGTGCCTGCCTGAATTTGCATTTAAGCCGTAAACAGTCATCAAGAAGGAAGGGAAACAAAGGAAGCTCAATCGTGTGAGGAAAAGCCAGCTGTGAACATCCTTCCACATAAACTCTGTGTCCTAGTGCCCAGCTGGAAAGGTTTTTCAAGAGTGAGACTGAAACTATAAAAAGGAAGGACAACCCCTCCTTCCCTGCCCATGGCATTCACTGCACCTGAAGAGAGACAGGAAGTACTCACTGGATGCTGAGGAAGAGGGCCTGACGTACACAGTTTGATCTGGAAGGCAGCTGAAAGCAGGTGGTGAGAAACTTTGCTTGAATAGGATATAATTTAAGTAAGGCATTAGTAAATGTTTCATCTTTATTTTCTTTGTAAGCGTTTCTGACTTTTATTCCTCATGAGTTGGATTCACTTAAAATCTCTCTCTTTGTTGTTAATAAACTTGTTTTATTCTTTTATCTAGTCTAGTGTGTTTGAATGGAAGTGTCTGGGTAACTCTGTTTTGGGGTGGTAAATTGTGTGCGCAGGAATAATCTTACAGGAATAATGGATTTAATATAATTTGTAGTGTCCAGGAGAGGGCTGGTCAGTACAGGACATACATTTCTGGGAGAAAATCTAAGACTGGGTGTGTGTTGGGGTCACCTTGCTGTATAACCCAGGCTGGTGAGAGCCAGAGTGTAACTCAGGTGTGGTTAGCAGGCTGCAGTTACACACAGACACTCAGGGGTGAGTTGCATGCTCTTAGGCTGTTTATGAGTGGCCCAGGTGGGCGTTATTTCAGCGAGAGTTTGTAAAACACCCAAGGCTGCAGGGCCGGGGAGTGACAGAGCTGCTCATTAGCCTGGATTGTACCCTGGCATGCCAGAGATGTGTAAACAGGACTCTCATGTGGGAGTAAAGGGGTTATATTCTCTCAGTGTTTGGCACTGGTGTGACCGCTGTTGGAAAGCTGTGTCCGCTAAGCAGTGTGACATAATATCCATGCCACTCAGGGAAGACAAGAAGTTCAGGCGCTTCAGTGCTATAAGACCTATATCATCACTTACATGACATAATTAATCTTAGCAGTCCATGGCGTAGGGTCACCCACAGTCATTCCTCAAGCCTACTATGGGCTTTCAGGTCCTAGAGAAGTGTGTTTCCCAGATAGTCTCATTAAAGTTCCTAAATTCCCATCCATCATCTTGGTAGAGGGCTGGTGGGTTCATTTTGTGCCTCCTTAATGATAAAATATGAAGACTTTTTTTTCCCCAAAGCAGCTCTTGTTTTTTTAAATAGCAAGTCTTCCAGCCGCACTCGACACCCCCCCGCTCCCCTGCTGTAAAGCTGAGCTGGTCACTTGGCCTCTGGTCTCCTTGAACCATAACAAAGACCTTGGAGGGCCATGACAAGCATTCATAAAGCGCTCCTTATAGTAAATGATCATTAGTGTTAGTCCAGGGGGATTGTTCTCTCCTTCTCTTTCTAGAACGAGGTAAAATGATACAGGAAGCCCAAGAAGAATGTTGGAAACTGCCCCTCTCCCCCAATTCCCATCCTACTGATGAGTCTCCCCTAATACAGAGCCTTGTGAGTTTCCTAAGTCAACGTTCTGTCTGGGGCTGGAGGCTTTGGGATACATTTTAGCGAATACTTAGTGTACGAAAGTACAATGGGACGGGCTTTAGAGCACCCAGACTGCTCTCGTGCATTCAGCCTAGCCGGATGATTGTATGTTGAGGCAGGGCGGGAGGACGAACTTGATTCCCCTTGGGAAAATGACCGTCACTGAAAAATCCTGGGATATTCTCAGCTCCTGGTCTTTAGTCACTTCCTATTCAGACCAGGGTTTCCTTTTACAGTCTGAATGAAATGTATTCAAGTTGTAATCACACCCACCATTCCCCTATCTAACTCACATGCACCCTTGTATTCCTTACCCATCCCCACCTTCCGAACGCTCTCACAAGTCATGGATACATCATAATCCTGTATCTGGCCTTAGCGTCCCGATTTCTGTATGCTAAGGTACTTCTAAATTGCTGCTCAGTCTCTTCATTCTTTCAACATTCTCCAGAGTTAATCTGTCATGTGGATTTTGTCATAATTCAGCAGATGATAATAAAGCCAAGGATATCTTGCTTTGTCTCTGCGGCATTCTGGCATCTGCGTGAGCTGCATGGAGCTTGCTCTGTGCTCCCCGTTGCATGGAAGATTTTGATAAAGCGATGTGTACCTTCTTGGTAGAGGGAAGGCCAGCTCCCTCTATGGATAAGTATAGAAAATGAGGCGGAGAAAAAAATCAGTCTAATGTGTGAGCTGTTTCTATAGGAATATCTAATATGAAATTAACCAGACTGTCCACTGGGAGGCACTGTTACCGTTACACACACAGCTGATCCATTTTCAAATTGCAGTACAAACCAGTCTTTGAAAGGGGGTGTTTCAGGCAAAGCGTTCTAACATGAGCTATAAAAATCTAGGTTTCAGAGGGAGTTGTGCATGACTATGGAATCATCAGGCCACCTGTTTACAGAGGCGGAGGGTGTACGTGTGAGAAACCATGAATGTTTGTTCAAGCCAGGTGCTCTGAGCAGGGGGTTGGACTGGATGACCTCCTGAGGTCTTTTCCAACGTAATCTTCTATGAATCTATCGTTCTAAGGGGTCCAGAGGGAAGAAATCCTAACTATACAGAAGACATAGAAGCCATTAGGGTAGTGTGGGGGAGATGGTCATGGTTTATTGTTAACAATAATGATCCCCATGTGGGGGGGGGAGGGGCGGAGACAGCCCCAGGGGTTAAAGAAACTGAAGCCAACAGGATCTGACAAACAAGCAGCCTCAGAACTAGGCTTCACTGCTTCCCATCAGCAACAAAAATTCAGCAATGAACTAATTAACGCTGATGTTAACTCTACAGTTTAACAATGACATTTGAACTCTCTGATATGATTCGCAGGAGGTAGGGGACTTAACGCCTCTCAGCTGTAATTTCCGGCTGTCTGCTGAAGACAACACCGGACTAGTTTGCACTTAGTTCTGGCTGTAAGATTATCTTTGCAACCACAAGCGCTAGCAATTACCAAGCCTTCACTAGTTTAGATGTTATGGAGTGGTGGCCAGCGCACAGCAGTGAAGGTTGCAAGTGAATCGCTGGTATAAGCCTGATGTTAGCCCCATCCTAAAATCCATACAAAGGAATAGCTGCATCAGTCAATCAGTCCATACTGCCTCTCTCTAGCCCTGCTCTTCCTCTGCCAGCTCCTGGAACCTCTCTCCTTTCCTTTGCGCTCCACTTCCCCCTGCACCCCACAGCCAGTCTCTGGCTCCCACCTTCCTAGCCAGCACCCCGCAGTCGCTCTGGTCCCACCTCTCTCTCTACCTCACTTAGGGTGGACATATTTCAGATTCCCCAAAAGGAGGGTGGTGGAGGAGTGGGGAGGTGGGTACAGTTGGGGGGTGCTTGTGGGGGTGTCTGTGTACTGAGAGGGGTACCTGGGACTGCTGGAGTATTGGGGGTGCTGAAGGGGAGTGTGTATACTGAAAGGGGGTGCTAGAAGAGGTATTTGGGGGTACTGGAGGGGTGTGCGTGTACTGAGAGTGGTACCTGGGGGTGCTGTCAGGGTATTTGGGGGAGCTGAAGAGGTGTGTGTACTGAGAGGGTACCCAGGGGGTACTGGTGGGTTTATAGGGGTGCTGGAGGGGCACCTGGGGGTGCTGGAGGGGTATCTACCACATCTGTCATGAATATATAACCTAGTTGGCACCTGACCAGAAGGACCAATGAGGAAAGAAGATACTTTCAAACGGGGGGGAGGGAGGAAGATTTGTTTGTTGTTCCCTCTCTGGATGGAGGGAGAAGCCAAGCAGGTACAACATCTCCTG